TTGTTTAAATTCCAAACTTCTAATGCATTTTTACAAAAAAATCACCTTATTTTAAAAGAAAAAAAAAAAGAAAAAGTACCAGTGATCTATTTGAGACATACATAAATATTATAAATTAAATGTACCAGTTAAGAAATGTTTCCAAAGAAAAGGGAGAATAGAAAAAGATATCTTCAGCAGTCAACCTTTAGAAGAAGAATAATTAAAAGTCAAAAAAAGTGAGCCATAGAATCATAGAATGGTTTGGGTTGGAAAGGACCTTAAAGACCATCTAGTTCCAACCCCCTGCCATGGGCAGGGACACCTTCCACCAGACCAGGTTGCTCAAAGCCTCATCCAGACTGGCCTTGAACACTTCCAGGGATGGGGCATCCACAGTTTCTCTGAGCAACCTGTTCCAGTGCCTCACCACCCTCTCTGTGAAGAATTTCTTCCGGATGTGCTATCTAAACCTCCCCACTCTCAATTTAAACCCATTACCCCTTGTCCTGTCACTACAGGCCCTTGTCAAAAGTCCCCCCCAGCTTCCTTGTCAGCCCCTTCAGGTACCGGAAGGCTGCAATAAGGTCTCCCCAGAGCCTTCTCTTCTCCAGGCTGACTGAACAAGCCCAATTCTTACCCACTTAAAATCATCCACTTAAAGGCAACAGTTGGAAATTATTTTCCTTGAAACACACAGAGAAATTATGTATATATGGCAAAGACACATAACTACTGATAAAAGAGTTTTAAAATACTATGTGAAACAAAAATTACAGTAATAAGATCAGTATAGCAACCTAGACACCAACTGCAAAGGAGTAGATTCTTACCATACAGCATTTAGAATAAACACGTATATGCCAGATGATACACAGCTGTGAGTATCAAAACCAAAAGTTAGCAATCAACCAATTACAAAGACAAGTATCTAAAAAAAGAAGAAACAGGCAAAAATACAGAAAAGTTCAGTACAAAGCACATTGTATGTGTAATAGTTTTTTTTATCTGAGTGCTTTAATAAATACTGTATTTATTTGAATGGTACATGTTTAAATGCTCCATATTATTTCATATTTAAAATGCCTAATAACATGCAGTTATGCAATAAACTCATGGTAAGAAAAAAGGTCTTGCATATTTATCTAAAACAGAAGACTAGACTATCATAATTTAGGAAAGGTGCATAACAGACTGAAGTCACACTAAAGTTTATAAAAGTTCAATGCATCTACTGTGTTCCAAAGACAATAGGCAGAAGTTTTGTAAAAACTATTTAAATTGGGATTTATGGCTTGAAGGGTAAAAATAATTTCTCATGAATATTTGAGCACCTTTTTTACCCTGTTTTGGTTATACAAATGATTAAAGACCATATTACTTCTCAGTCATAAGTTTCTAAACTAATTATTTCAGTTGGTTTTCAGTAATATCCATTAAAAGGGAAACCCTTCAAGTGGCTGTAATACCATTACAAATAAAGCTAATTTAGCTTTCAGCATTAAATAGTTACATGTATAACTATTACTACTACTACTACTATTAAATAGTTCTCTACCTACGAAGTAGAGAACATGCTTTCTTATTTACAGTAATTTTTAAGGGCTCTTAAGCATGTCAGGACAGTCTGATGCAGAAGATAAGAGAAGAAAGATTATCGCATTTTCTCCTTCTAAGGTTTTGTTGTTTCTGGCAGTGATATCAGCTTACACATGTCAAATTATGAGACACGTCACTTACTTGCCTTTTTTCCCTTAGTCAGTATGGATTCATACAAACAGCTGTTTGGTGGCCAGTCAGAAATTCCTAGTAAATAAACACCCCATCACAAATGGTATTGTTGCAACTGACACCTGTGTATGATGTGTGAAGGGGAGGGAAAAACCAGATGACTGGATAATCTCACCATCCTAGACCTAACAGATTGGTAGACTGCAACATGCAGCCTTGAAGTCATGCCATCTGTATTTTGCAGAGAAGAACATTCACTGTCATTACTGTCAAAAGTCACAGTTTCATAAGCAACCTATGTGCATGTTAATTATACAAATAATATCTTTTTCTCCTTGAATGAATAAAGAAAGAACAAATCCAGAAAAAACATAATAAAGGGGAATGCTCCTTACTACATTGTTCTTGATACCTGCTATGGTCTTCGATTACCAAACCACTGAAACCACTCCAAAACCTCAGAAAATTATCCCGCTCTTGTTTCAGTCCTGTGGCATCACAGCCAATGGATGAGGTGAGAAGGTCAGAATGACAACACCTTCATATAGTTTTTATATAGAGCACTGGTCGTGCAGCATCTGCTGCCCCTCACACACACATCTCCAATTCTTCCCCGAGCCAATGATACTCTAGGGGAAGGTATTTGAAAGGGCTGTATCACAACATGCACTGAAGCTATGATGATCATCAAAAAAGCAGCTTCTGTCCTTGTCATCTCTTCATTCCCTCACATCCTGTTGCCAAGCCCTCCTTTCACAGCTGCCACTTTTCCTTAGTTCTAGTTACGTTTTCAGCCTCTCCCCTCGTCCAGAGGGTGACTGCATCATACTATCGATTTCAGATTTCCAATCAATTTCAATTTCAGCCTCTGAAGTAGATCTGAAACCACAGAGAGCGACCTCATGGAGACGCACACTTACAGCTGCAGAAGCTCCCACAACAGGCAGCCCTTAAAAGCACGTTACTGCACAAAAATTCTTATAAACTTCCTACACAGGTATTTTGTCTTTCAGTTAAGGATAGGGTAGAAATGCAGAAATAATCATGCATCGCTGGTTGATAAAAATTGTGTGCATGCATGCACCAGACACATTACAAATCACACCTAGAGCCATGAGGACATGACAATACAAAAACTCCAGCCACTGCCATATTACAAAATAAAAGGATAAATAACCACATTTCAGTGGTTCCTCATCAGGCAGAAGGTGTATCACTTTTATTTTGAACAAACCAGAAGTAGGTAAGCTGTGGAAACCTGCGTATACACCACTGACTGTACAACTTTCCTCAGTTCAAGCAAGACCCTAGTAAAGCTATCAGAAACGTGAGGAAATTCACGAATGATCTAGATGACAGTTCAGAGTCCTCTCCCAGGAGTTTTGCTGATGACACAAAACTGGGAGGAGTGGCTGATACAACAGAGGGTTGTGATGCTGAAAAGGCTGGAGAAATGGGCTGAAAGGAACCTCATTAAATTCAACAATGGGAAATGAAAAGTCCTGCCCCTGGGACAAACAACCCCATGCAACCTTGTATCTTGGGGTTCATGCACCAATATATGCTGGGAGCTGCCCAGCTAGAAAGCAGGTTTGCAGAAAAGGACCTGGGGGTCGTGGTAGACAAGATGATGACCATGAGCCAGAAAAGTACCATTGTGACAAAGATGGCAATTGGTACCCTGGGCTGCATTAGGCAGAGTATTGTCAGTAGGCTGAGGGAAGCGATCCTTCCTCTCTACTCAGCACTGGTGGGGCCATACCTGGAGTGTTACGTCCAGTTCTGGGCTCCACAGTACAAGAGAGACATGGAGATACTGGAAAGAGTCCAGTGAAGGGCCATGAAGATGATTTAGACGCTGGAGCATGTCTTCTATGAGGAAAGACTGAGAAAGTTGGGACTGTCAGCCAGGAGAAGCAAAAACTCAGCAGGGATCTCATCAATGTGTATAAACACCTGAAGGGAGGGTGCACAGAGGACAGAGGTAGGCTCTTTCCAGTGGTGCCCAGCAAGAGGCAATGGGGACAAACTGAAACACTGAGGGCTCCTTATGAACGTCATAAAACAATTTGTCACTGTGAGGGTGAATAAGCACTGGCTCAGGTTGCCTAAAGAGGTTGTGGAGTCTCCATCCTTGGAGATAACTCAAACGCTGTCTGGACAAGGTCATGGGCAACTGTCTCTAGGTAACCCCGCTTGAGCAGAGGGGGTGGACCAGGTGACCTCAAGCCTCAATGATTCTGTGATTCTACGAAAAACAAGGTATCACTCAGCCTTTTAGGTCCAGGAATTGCAGGATTAAGACAACCAAAAGAAACCTCAACCTTTGCCTGTGTTTTTGCCATCAGCTTTATCTGTGAAGTAATTCTAATTCTTTTTCTCTCCTTCCGTATCACACTTGGTCTGATTATGACTTTTTTCTTATAAACATTCCTAATAATAAGGAAAAGCATATTCTGTTCTCCTCATAGTCTTGAGGAGGCAGCCAGTTGAGACTTATGGAGAAAAGGGAGCCGCAATGCTCACTGTTCTCTTGTGTTTATTTGTTAAGTGTTGGATTTTCTAAGTATCGTATTTCAACTACTATGAAGGGTAAAAAAGCTTAATTACTTTTCAAAGAACTATTTTGATTTTTAGAAAATGAGCTGATATTTCCTGAATTTCATCAATGGCTTGGCTCAATACCTGGTTTTCATCTGAATTTTTTTTGCGATACGCAGCACTCAGTTTTGAGTATAAAGTCCAAAAGAGAATACATGCGACATAAGACTTTTGTATGACATTTTGGATTTGTCAGTATTGTTTTATAGTTTATGCTAACAGTTAACTTAATAGATACTCTTACAGGTTAGTAACACTAAAATACATAGTGGTATTGCTTTAAGGATACTACATCTTTAGACCTTATTACTCTAGAAATGTTTCATTTTTCTATTTGTCAGCATGGCAAATCTTTCCAAACCACAGGCACATTACAAACCTAAACACAGTCAGAACTCTTCTAGTTTAAAATCAAGTTTAGGTCAGCCCATTAGGCAAAGTAGGGCAATGAATTGATAAAACTTTTCAGAAAGTTTCATCTAAAATCATAGAACTTCTTAGGTGAAATGTCAACTGTTTGCACTCAGAAGAGTTTAATTAATACCTTTTCAGAAGGTTATCATCTCGGAATCACACGCAACTTTCACCTTAAGACACAACAGTAAACTATTTTCACATCTTATGGAATATCCATTTGAAACCAACAATAGAAGTTTTCTTAACTGCTCTAATTTAAACATAACACAAACCTGTTCTAATGTTTCTATTTTGCTGTCTTTGGCTTGCAAAATCTCTAAAACTTTCCTGGCCTTGACTTCAGCTTTCTGGTTTTCTCTGGAAACAAACAAACAAAAAAAAAGACACTTTATTAGTCATAATTTGCAGTTAATCATTTGAATTTTTCATGTCCTGATAATGAATGTCATTTTAAGGCACAGAAAATCAAATTATCTGAAGCTAACCGGCCTTGCAGAATTAATCAGGGAGCATATGGCAAGTGACAGCAAATTGCATCTGTAAACAGCTAACACAACTTTGTTCAAAAAGAAACAGAAACAAGAGGTCTTAAAATAAATCTTTAAGCAGCTGAAATTATCGGTTTCTTTCCTGCCCAAACACAGAAAGTGTACTGGTCCACAGACTGATTTTCCTTCTTGGCAATACACAGTCACTATGGTGCTTGTTTTTGTGATGGCCTTCACTACTAGAAATTTCTGTAAAACAACGCTTCTGAACATTACACATAAATATTTTACTATGGACAAACCCTCTGACTTTTACTGGGGGGAAAAAGAAAAACTCAGAAGCATGGGTAACTGGAACAAGCCGAACCCCTTTGTGTGGTTAGTAAGTTCAAGGTCTATAATCACCTCTGCAACACTGATGAGTCAGTAATGCTTTGTTTAACAAACAACCCTATTACCACCCTATTTCTTGACTGAGTTTTAAATGTTGGTGCCATTTCTGGTTTAGGGAGAAAGAAAACAAATTATGCTATAGTAGGGATAAACAAAACAGAACAAGACAGAATTCCTGTCATATATCTGTGACTAAAGGTCTGAGAAACATATATTCCCTAAAACTGGCCAAACACTTCAGGCAACCTCAACACCACAGGTGAAAGAGAAGCAGAAAAACTCATTCAGATTATCCCTGCTCTCACAACACAGTCAAACTTGCATTATGGCTGGATATAAGCCACCCCTAGAAGCCAGGGAATGCTTCTGAGGTGGAAGGGAAGAGTGGTACCCATAAGCCTGTAAATCTGATCAGAAGCTGATGAGAATATCCAGCTTTGCACAAAATGCTTCATTCTGTAACTGAGACGAACAAGGACAGTAAATATACAGGCAATTATTTTTCTCCACTATTATGTATTACTACATAGTCTACTGTTATCAGTGATTTTAAAGGCTAAACCATACACAGTTTCCGCAAGCCATCCAGTACCATGTTCTTCTTAAATAAAGTTCTATGACTACTACAATATCTAGGCTGATCTTGAGAAACTAAAGAATTAAATAAAAATGGTGTGGAATTTAAAGCAAGGTTTTTGGAAACTGAGGTCTCAAGGCATCACAGTTCTAAATAGTGCTCTCCTACTGCAAACAGAGCAGCACTAATGTGTTTTAGCGCTGGATGAAAACTAAGAAACTTAGCTGAAAAGATACATATTTAAATTACATTTAGCTGGGAGAAACAAATACATATGGAATCTTAAGCAGATTTATGGCATTAAAAAAAATCTACCTCCATAAAGAAAATAATTAGGAGCTGTAAAAAGCAGAGAAAGTGAAACCATGAATATTCAACAAGTATTCCAAAAGACATTTCATGTCTGAAAGGTATTTAACATTTTACTTAAGACACAAACTTAACAGGAAAATGGACATCAGATCCTGACCTTAAAGCACCTGATCACCAGCAATCATAAGCATCAAGAAATTGTGATGATCAGTTGCAAGGAAGACAAGAGCCATGAAATACATAGTACAGCCATTTGTTTTTCAGTTTCTCTTTGAACATATACTGAAATTGAACTAAATTGGACTGCAATTACAGAGATCCATACAAATATGAAATAACCTGATGTTACGCCAAAGGTTATTCTGTGATGTCCTTTGGAAAAAAAAAAAAACACAACACACTAAGGACAAAAAAGGGAACACGAGAGAAAACAACAAACAGATCTCATGCTACATGAGGGTTAACGAAACTGACCTACCCAACTGATAAAGCATAACTAGTTTACAGAAATCACATTCTCAGACATTTTTTTAAAAATGGTACAAGACTTCTGGATAAGCTTATAAAACTTTTTACAAAAAAAAATATTGTACAACTTTAAAAAAACAGGAGTTGGTAAAGAAAAATGTCTGTGAATAGACAGAATTATTTGTGTAATACATACTTATCACAGAAGTTTGTGCATGTTCTGAATCAGGTATACTGTTCATGACAGGTACTTTACATTATTCCACAGCTTAAGTGAACAAAAACTGCTCCGGTATAAAAATACCAGTGCTTCTTCATACTTAACATTGCTGTGGGGTCCTTACTGCCTATCAACAATTATCCTACTTCTAAAACAACAGTCGCAAGTACACAAACCCCAAATATTTCGTGAAGAATGTGTATCTCTCCCACAAGCACATTACACCATAACCTGAGGAAGTGATGGACCTACATTAATTTATGTCTAAACTCAAGTGTTATAGCACAGTTCAAGTTTCCTCAGGTCTTAATTGGAGCTAGAAAAACTTTACAATTTAAGATCAGACACATGCATAACTGCTTGATCCAAAATTTTAAGAGGTTCAGAAAAAAAAAAAGCAGAGCAGGTCTATCCTCCAAAGTACTTGCAATAGTAAGGTGTAGTCACAGAAAGAACCCTACATACACACACACACAAGCCCCGCAAACCACTGAACAGCATTGCCTCCAGTCCTCACAAGTACCCTGACCTTAACCACTGGCTGACACACCCTATCCTTTCTCTGTTCCCACAGTGATGTATTTCACTATCTGTTTTAATTCAGATGTTTTTATTTTATATTTCTACTTAAATTCAGCTATTGCTCTAACCACTCATTCTCTATCTACCATCCACAATATTCCATTGACTTCCCAATTCCTCTAACCATGATCTCCTCTTACAAAGTCAGCCTTTTTTAGAAAGAGGCCCAATTAAACACAAATACTAGATAACTAGCCTCTTAGTTATGCTCTCATCACTTCAAAATTTATTAAACTTATTTTCTAATGGATTAATTGATCTGAAAACCTGATGGGTCAGATAGATTTCCTAAGGCAAGGCTCAAAGTATTCTGCAGTTGTGGCAGGGTTTGTTTTGGGGTTTTTTTGGTTTGTTTTTTGGGTGGTGTTTTTTTTTGTTTGTTTGTTTGGTTTTTTGGTCATAGTAGTAGTATTTTAAATATAGAACAGGAAGAAAGTGAATAAATCAGCCAAGAATCAAGCAAGACAACAAGCTGCTCTGGAGGACTGAAAAATGGTATGCACAGCTAATTCTGGTATATTATTGGTAGTCAAGAATTTATGCAGCCCGGTGTCTTAAGACAAGGCTATACATAAGAGGCCTGAAGAACAAAATCAGGGACTGGAGAGAAAAAACAGACTTTTGTTCAAGAAAAAAAAAACGTGCCTGTAACACAGGCACACATTAGACAGTGGTTCAAAGTGCACTTCTACTTAAATGCAGTATTTTCCCTGCTTATCCAATGCTTTGTCAAACAGTCCTTTGAACAAAGCTGTCAAGGAACGAGTTTCATAAATACAGATCTATCATCATCATGAGTGATAAAAGCCTTAAGCAAATTCAAGTTTTCATGGTTTTCTGATGTTTTCTTGCAGGGTCTCAATATAGCATAGGCTGTAGTAATGGCCCCCAAAATAGTTTCACCAGTCACCACCCAAACCTAAAAAGAAAAAAATTATAATTATCAGAATTTAAGCACAAAATGGATGTTGTCAGAAGCCTAAAGCGTAGATTGAAACCTCATATGAAACTTTACCAGCTGCTTCTCCTGCTGGCATAAGACAACTTCCAATGCTCGTTACAGAACGTTTTCCCACAGACAATCAAGGCAGGCAAGTTCCAGTCAATCATATCTGGATCTGCTGTTGCACCTCAAAATGAGACTTGTTAAGAATTGCAGCAAACCCCTCCTCCTTTTTAGAAGGGTGACAAATACTAAGAAAAATCTTCAACACCCTTTATTAATTCAGTCATTATGTACTTACAATATATATTTTTAAAAATCCACTGGAATATGGGGGGAAAAAAATTCAGACACTGTCAAGAAGCTGATGATGATCAATGACTGAGACAAACTCCTGTTTAGCTAATTAGAACCACTGATGAGCAATAATGATGTGAGCTAAGAATATTTGCAGACTTCTTTAGGATGAAAAATGGAGTGAAGAGAGGCTGTCAATTTATACAAGTTTTAAGCTCCAATCAGTTTTCCCATGAGTACTACCTATTTTAAATGTTTAACACAGATGTATTTAGCTACAAAGATTATCGAGATTCAGCTTCCCACAAAAATGAAGAAACCGAGAAAATATTCTTAAGCTTGACTTTTTCCTGCATTATGATTTTTTCCTGAGTTATGCTATACTTTACACTGTAAGACACAGTAATTTTTTTGAAGTTTGGCACATTTTTAATGGCTTGTCAAAAATGAAGCATTAGCCAATGAGGAAACGTTTAATGAATGAAGTAAGAAAACAGAATATACGCTACAAAAACCTCAAGATTTTAAAAGATAAAAGGTTGTTGAAATTTAGAAGACACCATGCTTCCTAAAATCTTTAGCAAAAGCAGTCTGGGAAAATAGGCAGCTTGTATTCTACCACAGTTCTTAATCAGTCAAGCAATTAAACCTCTGTCAAGAAGAAGTATTCAGAATTGTATGTAATTATGTCATTTTTACATCAAATAAATGAAAATAATTTTAATAAATTGAATTTGCTGTTTACAGGTTTCCTGGAATATGTTCTTTCAGTTTTACAAAACAGCAAGATTTAAAAAAATAAACACATCTATAAATTTGGCCTTAAATACCTAAGAAAGTTAAGGCTATACTGCAAACTTTGTGTTGTGTGTTGAAAGAACAAGGACTGCATTTTAACAGTATGCAGGTACGGCTAAAAATAAAGTACTTCTAGAAATACTACTTTCATTTTTTATTTTATACTCTAGATTTTTTTTTTCCAGATACATTACTTTTGAAGATATTTCCCTGAATCTAAAAGGCAGCAGAAGTAGATAGGCTACAAAATATCAGCTTGTCTGATGCAGCATTTATTTT